TAGCTCACTGTAACCTCTAATTCCTGAGTTCAAGCCATTCTTCCCCACTTGGCTGCCTGAGTAGTTGGAACTATAGGTAGATGTTATCACACCCAGCTAATTTTTCTATTTGTTTGTAGAGATAGGGTCTTGCTATGTTACCCAGGCTAGTCCTGAACTCCTGGACTCAAGTAACCCCCACCCCCCCAGGTGGGGTACAGTGGCTGATGCCTGTAATGCCAGCATTCTGGGAGGCTGAAGCAGGAGTACTGCTTAAAGTTAAGCATTTGAGACCAGTCTGAGCAAAAACCAGACTCTGTCTATACTAAAAACAGAAGGAATTAGCTGGGTGGGTAGTGTGCACTTATCGTTCTAGCTACTTGGAAGGCTGGGGCAGGAGGATTGGTTGGCCCAAGAATTTGAGCTTGTAGCAAGCTATGATGCCACTACACTATAGCCGGGGCAAAAGAGTGAGATTTTAGCCTTTGTCTCAAAAAACACCACCAAAACCCTAAAATCAAATGATCCTCCCATCTTGGATTCCCAAAGTGCTGGGATTACAACAGACAAGAGCCATCATGCCCAGCCCCCTTTGAAATTTTTATTCTATGTGTCATGTTTGCTTTGTCGATTATTCCAGGCTTCTCAGTGCCTGGCACATGGTATTTTCTGAGTGGACAACTGGATAATGTTGCTGTCTTCTGAAACCCCTTCATGCTTTAGGAGTAGGCTCAACTTTATCTCTCCTTTGACATCCAGTTATACACTCAGTCTAACCAATTTCTCACAAATAACCTGTGCAGGGTCTAACTCTAAACCCAGAGTACTTATCATCTCACAACAGGATTATCATGGCAATTGAATTTATTCCACACACAACAGCAAGAATCGCTTTCATCATGCCACTTCTTATTCCTAAAATGCCTTATAGATTATGTCGTAAGTCTTAATAAGGCATCCCACAACAGGTGCTGCCCTTGACTAATGTCATTTTCTCACCGACTAACAATGGTCTCCATCCTGGTCTATTCCTCATGCCTTACTTCCCTTTTTATCTCCTCTGACAAATAATGCCCATTTTTTGCTTAAAAATACCACCCAGGCTGGGGACAGTGGTTCAGGCTTGTAATCTTAGCACTCTGGAGGCCGAGACAGGAGAATCCCTTGAGCTCAGGAGTTTGAGACCAGCCTGATCAAGAACAAAACTCTGTCTCTACTAAAAACAGAAAAATTAGCCAGGCATGGTGGTGCATGCCTACCAAGCCTGGCTACTCCGAAGGCTAAAGGAGGAGGATTGCTTGACCCCAGAAGTTTGAGGTGACCTCAGTACTAGGCACTCTCAAAAGACAAAAAACAAAACAAAAAACTAACAAGGCCAGGTGCCATGGTTCATGCCTGTAATTCTAGCACTTTAGGAGCTAAGAAGGGAGAATCACTTGAGCTTAGGAGTTTGAGACCAGCCTGAGAAAGAGCAAGACCCCATCTCTGCTAAAAATAGAAAAATTAGCTGAGTGTCATGCCATATGCCTATAGTCCCAGCTACTCCAGAGGCTGAGGCAGGAGGATGGCTTGAACCCAAGAATCTGAGGTTGCTGTGAGCTAGGTGAAACCATGGTGTTCTAGCCTGGGCAACAGAATGATGCTGTCTCAAAACAAAACAAAGAAAAAAAAAAAACAAACCCCAAACCACCCAAAGCGGTCTCACTTAGGCTTAGCTGTTCAGATCACAATTTAATGCATCTTTTAAATTTTTTTTAATTTGGCTCGGC